AGCTCTCAAACCAATGTAAAGCAACATTTTTAATGCCATATTTTTCCATTTTTTTAAGTAGTATAGCATGATCAACAGTATCGAATGCTTTCGATAGATCAATAAAGATTCCTAGAACAAATTTGTTATTATCAAAAGAGTCATTTATTTTATTTACAAGATCTATAATCGCATGTTCGGTTGAATGTTGTTTTTGAAATCCGAATTGTTTTTTATTCAAAATATTGTTAATAGTTAGGTATTTATATAGTTTATTGTAAACTATTCGTTCTAGAAGTTTAGAAAAGACAGAAAGGATTGAGATGGGTCTGTAGTTATTAAGTGAGCATTGCTCTCCGGATTTAAATATTGGTACAACTTTTGCAATTTTTAATTTGTCAGGAACAGTTCCTGTTGTAATTGAAGATTTAAAAATTTCGAATATGGGTTTGCGTATCACCGGGAAGACACTTATTACTACGTTGCTAGAAATCTCATCAATCCCTGGTGCTTTGTTAACTTTTAGAGAATTTTTTGCAGCTTCGAGTTCATCATAGTCTAGTCCATTGAATTTTAGTTCGCTTTGTTGATTTGTAAGATAGGTTTCAAAATAGGTATTTGGGCATTGAATTTTGGACGCCATGTTAGGGCCGATGTTTGCAAAGAAACTGTTGAAATGTTCGGCTATAGAACTTTTATCGTTGTATTCTTTTTCATCCACAACAATTCTATCAGGTAAGGTATTTGTTTTGGTATTTTTTTTCCCGATTATTTCTTTCATGATGTTCCATGATTTTTTAATATCGCCATTGGTATTTTGAAGTAGTTTTGAGTAGTATATTTTTTTAGAGTTTTTCCTTATTTTTTCAAAGAGATTTTTGTATTGCTTGTAGATAGATAAGTTGACTTCATTTCTGTTTTTTAAATATTTTATGTAGAGTTTTTGTTTTGTTTTAGAGGATTTTTTAATTCCACTAGTAATCCATGGACAGTTCAAATATTTTTCTTTAACTATTTTTTCTTCGATCGGGAAATAACTATTATAATGATTAAAAAAAATATCGATAAATGTATTATATGCGGAGTTTGTGTCCTCAAGGTTGCATTTTTTATATACTTCATCCCAATTCACTATTGATAGTGTGTCTTTAAATTTTTGAATAGAAATTTTATTAGTTTTTCTTATATAAATTTTGGTTTTAGAATTGTTGTTTATTCTTGTATCTTGATTTATAGAAAAGTAAATTGGGAAGTGATCCGAAATATCGGTTTTAACTATACCTGTTTTTAAAGAGGAATCTTGAAATGCATTTGTCAAGATGTTATCTATTGCGGAAATTGAATTCGGGGTTATTCGCGTAGGTTTGTTGATAATCGGAAAGATACAATGTTGAAACATGTTGTCAAAAAAAAGTTTGGTGGTCGCATTCTTTTTGTATTTTAAACAATCTATATTTAAATCACCTATGCAGAATAGTTTTTTTTGTTCTCTATTAATTTTAAGAAAGATATCTTCCAAGTAGCTTGAAAATTTTTTTATATCTCCTTCAGGTGGTCTATAGCAGGTAGAAACTAAGATATTTTTAGTTTTGGAGTTAGTGATTTCTATTGTAAGTACCTCACAACTGGAATCAGAAATCGAAAGGTCTTTTCTTGCTTTTATTGCTTGGTCATTCCGAATATATGTTGCAATCCCTCCCCCCCTTTTGTCTGCTTTCCTTTCAGAAGATAATAATTTATAATATGGAATTTGAAAGTTAGAATTTTTTTGAATTGATTCATCAGAGCACCAAGTTTCTGTCAGACAAATCATACTGAATGAGTAATTGCAATCGGTTAAAAAATGTTTTAATTTATCAAAATTTTTATTTATACTTCTTATATTTATGTGTATTGCCAAAAAGTTATTTTTAAAAGTTTGGAGTTCAGTTTTAAAATTTTTAATGTTGAAATAAGGCGTATCAAAGTTATTAACTTGAAAGATTTGCGTATCAACGTCACAAAAATCATTGAGTATGTTATTTGCGGTTTCAAAGACATTAAAACGCAGCGATTCAAAATCTATTGTTTTGTAAGTCATTAAGTTAAGAAGCAAAAGTTAAAAACGCGTTCGTTTAAAAAAGAGTTTAAGTAAAAGAGAACGCGGCGCTACTTTTTGAAATCTCGACTAAATATTTTATCGTATTTTAAAATAGCGTATTTACCTTCGCTGCGTAGTTTTTTTACTTCTTCCCAAAGCTTTCTTCGGAGTTCAGTTGTTTCTGGAGCGAAGTCTTCATTAACGTATAGGCCGGTTCCTTTAAGGTGCTTTACTGCGTTGAGAATTTTGTTTTTGTCCTGAAAATTTAGAAGTTTTAAGACTATTGTTCTTGGTTTGTTATGCTTGTGTTGACCGATACGATGAGCTCGTTCAATCACCACTTCACTTGTTATTTTAAGTTGTTTTTTAATCATTACTTTTACTGCTTTTTCGCAATCATCCCAATTCTCTCCTGGTGTTTCGTGTAGTCCGTCTATTCTTAAGTTGTTTCGTCTCGATCGATTTTCCAAATCTACTGTTTTTTTGTTTAATATATTTACTTCATTGTCATAGTATTTTTTTATGTGTGATAATTTTTCTGATATTTTATCTTCTTGAAAATTAAGGCTGTCTTTAATGTCATTGATATCTTTTTCAAAATTCGATATTTTCCTTTTATTGTTGTTATTGTCTTTTTCTATAACGTCTAACCTATCGGTTATAATTTTAAGGTTTGCACTCATTATTGAGGTGAATGTTTTTTCCTGCTCCTTTAGCAAACGTTCTGTTTCTTTAAGTATGCTTTTTTTATGTTCTTCAAGTTTTGATGAAATCATTTTTTCAATGCTCTTCATTGTTATTTCCATTTTTAACATAAAGTTAGAACTTTTTTCGCTGCGACTAAAAAACACGTCCGCATACCACGCCGCTTTCAACTAAAAAAACCTCTAAATGTCGAAATGTCTAAATGTCGAAATGTCGATCTCTAAATGTCGAAAAAAGTAAGTATATTCTTTTTACAAAATTATTAAAATCTGAAACCCTCCTATTAAAACTACCTGATTTACTAACTGATAAAACTAAACTTAAACGAGAATACTCAATCAAGTTTTTAGGCGTAATTCTTAATGAACATATTAGCTGAAGTAATCATATCAAAGTAATAGAAAATAAAATATCTAATATTATTGGTATTATGTATAAAACATATCCTGAACACAAATTGTTTAAAAAATATTAATTTTGCATTTATTCAAAGCTACACCAGCTACTGCAGCATTATATGGGCAAGTACTTATCCTTCAATGTTAAATACGATCTACAAAATAAGTCGCTTAATATTAAATGCAAATAAAAACGCTAGTGCTAGACCACTACTAAGAGAAATTGGAGTGCGTAATGTCTATGAAATAAATATTCTTAAAATAATTATTTTTATGTTTAAGTTTAAAAATGGTATACTACCAAGCATTTTCCAAACTTACTTTATTTCTTTAAACCACAAATACGAAACTAAATACTCAATAAATAACTTTATTATACCAAAAACATCAAAACAAGCTGATTTTTCGATATCTTGCCGAGGGCCGCGGTTATGGAACTTGCTTTTAGCAAGTAAGATAAAAATTTTAAATTCATTTCAACATTTTAAACGTGCAACAAAACAACACTTATTTAATTTTGATACAAAGCCTTAATTATATTGTATGTTATTTGAAACATGTATGATATTATTATTATTTTTTTTACAATAATAAGGCAATTTGTAAATGCAATATTTATTATATCTTACGCAATTTGTAGATGGAATATAAAACAGATTTATTTGATTTTGTATGTATATATGAACGGACATATATTTGTGTGTACGTGTGCGTATGTGTGTACGTGCGTGTATAATAAAATTAAAAGTAGAATGAAATAGAGAATTAAAAAAATAATAATAAAAAGAAATATTTAATTTTTTTCTGAATTGATTGTTAAATCAGTTCTCGCTTTAGTTTCTTTTTTCCTATTTCATTTTTATCGGCTGAATTTCTTAGTTATATTAACAGGGCTGGATGATAAGACCATGTCTTCTGACAGTTCCGGTCGAAACTTTAATGTTATATTTTTATGTTCTAAAAACATTGTAAAAAATTGTTTTTTAATGACGAAAATATATTTAAAAAATAAATAAAAATATGATGGTGAAATTTGGTGAAATAAATGTAGACACGAATTTAATAACAGACTTTCGGATCTATATAACGCAACGATCTTTTAATACTGTTATTATTACTGGTGCATCCTGATGTTAAACGAGATAAAATTTTAACTCATGTCCGAAAAGACCTTTTGTACTAACCAAGTAACTTATACTGTATATTTGCAAATAAAATTTATGTATTCCCAAAATGCGTTAATTCCTTATTCACATGTTAACTTCATATTACAATTGCTTTGCTTCTCTACTACTTTAAAATTACACTAATTTTTTTTTATAAAAAGTGAATATTTGAAAGTTAAAATTTTTTTGTCACTATAATAATAAATTTGGTAATTTTCAATTATACTAATGTTAAAATTGATCAGTTAATTCGATACTTATTTTAGATTTCAAGAGTATGAAACTAAACTAAAACTAAACTGTTTTAGTTTAGTTTTCTATAAAAAAAAATGACACTTGTTATTATAAACTGCTGAATTCGCTTTGTGAAATTAGCAGATTATAAATAACAAGTGTCAATTTTTTTATAGATTCCTATACGCGAGGTTGACACTCTCGTCAACCCCTTTTTCCAACGCTGTCTTCCAGGTCCCCAAACATGAAAAAACTAGTCTTTTAATTGAAAAACTACCTGATCAAACCCTCAATCCATGTATGTGTACTCACCGCGAATAAATGGGCGAAGTTATATGGTGACCGAACTCATTGGTATTAGACATTTTTAAAGATAATTATTGAATAATCAAACTTAAAAATTGCCTGTTTGCAATGCGAATAAATTACTCAGCCAAGTCGTAAAATATTCTCTTTTATTTTAAACAAATACACATATAATGCTGGCAAAATGACCTTTGACGTAAGGAAAATGCTCAAAAATTAATGACATGAAAAAAAATCTAGAATACTTTATTGTACATATTTATAGGCTAAAAAAATATCATTTTTATATATAAAAAAAAAATGTTTCTACCATAAACATGGCTACTGTCTCTTCCATGACCAAAGCGCTGACGCAACCGATGCAGCAGCGGATGTCATTAAACCTGAAGCCGATACTGAACTTGAGCGATCTCTACTGTAGTCCATTGTTGGAGAGAAGCTTTCTGATCGCACTATACTGTGGTCGTCAGGTAAATCGGTCAGCTGATCCCAATCTTCAGGCTCAATATCGTTGGTATCACTTTGAGAATCGTAATCTAGTTCCTCAGCACTACTGTCAGAATCAAAAGGGCACTCCCGAAATTTGAATTCAAAAGTTTCAAAATAACCATTGCTATTATTAAACAAATCATTATCATTAACCAAGTTTATGACAACCATGATCATCATGATCATCATCATCATCAAGTTTCATGCTCTCAAGCTTTTTAATGTAACTTACCATCCAAGAGAATCTGATGACACACAAAGTTTTATGTTGCTCAGCAAAAAGTCTGGTTGAAGATCATCTATAGGTATGCGCTAAAATAAAATTCACTGAGATCACATATGCATGATAAAAGTGCGAAAAATTAAAGTTATTTTTATTAATTTAATGTTAAATTACAAATTATTTCTAATTTTTTTTTCTTAACAACATTTCCCTAATCTAAATAAAAAAAAAAAGAAATTTGTAAATAAAATGTGAATTTTTTTTTTGTTACCTGTGAAAAGCACAACTGCAATATGTTTTGAGAAAGTTTGTTGACAGTTTCATATAAACGAAATCGCGAGACTTGCAATAAACTAAAGTTGCTTTAAAATAGAAACAAAAATCAAAAATTTGTTGAAAGAAAATATATGTAAAGTAAAATACTTGAGCAGAAATAAGTTAATGTCACATCACGAATCCAACAAGGTGTGGGCATGCATCATAGAATTTACAACTACACTTGCATGCGACACATGACTTTTGAATATATAAAGTAGCCATAAACCAAAATAAACACCGATAGAAAAACCATTTGTTTTTAATTGCCAATATTTTTCTATCAACAAATATCTAATATCCAAGTCAACTTTTACAAGTTAATTGCCAGAAGCCATAGTTCCTGAAATTTTGATAGAGAAGTTATTATTATGTTATACTTTACATCATAGGTTGATGATAACCTATGATGTAAAGTATAACATATTTGTAAATGGCAGCCTAAGATGTACAACTAAGAACTTGATCCAATTATTGACTTAAACATATTAGACTTAATGCTATAATTGGTATAAAAATTATATTTTAATTATAAAGTCAATTTATAAATTTAAACTCTGAGTAAAAATTCTTTTTTTTTTTTGCTGTTTGTTTTAATTTAATTTTGAAAAAAACTTTTGGCAATAAACATGCAGTATTAGACATTTAACAATGCAGTGTAATGCCCAACACCATTAAATGATTGAACTGTTTAAAGTATATATATAAACCGCATAAAGTAAGGTGATGCATTTCTAACTCTCGAAAATATAGAACTATTACAAAAAGTTCAATGCACAATCTGAAGCCAATAGAATAATCTTACCAAACTGAATATTTCTCATGAAAAAAAATTCATGAAATAAAATTAGTTAACTTAAGCGCAAAATGAAATAAAAACCAGGTGTAAACCTGTGTTACATTGTTTCCTGCCTAAGATGACGAACGCTGGATCTTCCTGACTCTTCTCATAGGTGTTTGCTTAATTTGCCTCCATGATAGTTGCTATGCAACTCTTCCTATTATCTCCTACAGTTCTATAACTCAGTTTAATGGTTTTGAGGCCAGCTGGTAATAAGAAGCTGGTAGTAAGATTTCCTGAATTCTGTGGTAGCTCTACTTCTGATTCCAAAATATCAGATTGTTAAAAAGGCCATGTTCCACATGATGATGGTGTCCCTATTTATGCTTTTGGTGTGTATTATTGAGGCCACATAAGGAGCGCTATGCTACGACTTAGGGTTAATTAACAGGACTGAGAAAATTGCATAGCTCATTGTTTAGGAGGTGTGGTTTATCTATGAATAAGTCAAGTTCTCTTTAAACTTAAATCATGTCAAAAGTAACCCAAAATATTAAACATAAAAAACCATCTCTACCACCTAACTGTTTTAATATATCTTTTACTAATATTCGTGGCCTGTGAAACAACTTTCCATCAGTTAAATCTTACCTTTTTCAAAATTTACCAGACTTGCTTGCTCTTAGTGAGACTATTAAAACTCTGCTATTCCTTCTTCTGATTTTAGTGTTGATGGGTACTACCCTTTGATATGCAAAGACTCCAATTGTCATATGGAATTGAGGGGTATGAATACGCATCATTTCACCTATTTGTTGTAAAATTAGGTTCAAAGCCTTTGATCTTTTATGTGCTTCCGCTTAACACCTCTTCACCTTTGTTTTTGTCATTTATCGTCCTTCTTTCCAAGACTGCACTCTTTTAGATGTAATTTCTGATCAAATTGGCCATACCCTCTCTCTTTACCCCTGCCAGTATTGTTGTTATTAGTGACTCATCACATCAAATTGCCTGGCTTTAATGCAACTAACCCTGCTGGTTCTAAAGCCTAAACTTCTGCATTTTTCAATCTCTTGCTCAGATAGTTAACTTTGTGACTAGTTTTAATGACAACTCTAATTATTTACCTTCACTCCTTGATTTATATCCAGTCTCTGATTCTATCTTGTGTTTAGCTTATTCTTTTTTTCCTTTAGGTGGTTCTGACCATGCAATGATCTATTTAAATCTTTTATCTCGCACTTCCTTTTCAGACTCATCCTATCATTGCCCTACTTACTACTACCCTGAAGCTGATTGGGATTCTTTTCATGATTATCTTAGTGACTGTCCTGTCTGGTGTAATGTCTTTTTCTTCTCAGCTGAAAAATGTGCCTCCTAGGTAACCCTCCTGAATTCAGGCAGTAATGGAAGCTTTTATTCCTTCTTGTTGGTTTCAAGTTAAGCCTCATTCTACTCCATGGTTTTCACCCTCTTGTTTTTTTTTCATCTTTTTTAAAAGAACATCTCTCTTGAGAACAAATGGCTTATTATTATTGCAAGAAATCAATGTAAAAAGTGATGCCAGATGCTAAGCTCCATTATTTAAAGTTCACTGAATCTTGTCTCAGAAGTTTAACTCTTGAGACAATAAAAAAGCGTTGTTAACAAAAGAAGGTCTAATATTCCATGTCTCAGTCATTAGACTGATCTTATTACCTCTCCCAAGAATAAGAAAGAACTATTTGCAAGAACTTTTCTCCTAATTTGACTCTCAAGTCTTATGGCCATTCTCTTCCTTCCATTACAATTAAACAGGTTCACCCATTGTTAGACACTTAAATCACTCCAGCTTCCATTGCTAAAGTCAAATCTCAATTTAACTTTTCTACAGCTTGTGGTCCAGACAACATTTCTGTCATAGTTTTACAAAATTGTTCTCCAGAATTCTCTTCAAATCTCTCTAAACTATTCAAAAGTGCTTGACTGAGTCTTGTTTTGAAAATTGGAACTGTTATTCCAATTTTCAAAAACTCTGATGAACACTCTGACCCCTCTAATTATTGTCTGATTAGTGTTGTTTCTGTTATTAGCAAGTTCTTTGAGTCTTTGATAAACAAACTTCTCACATCCCATCTTGAGTCAAATAACTTACTGTCAGTTAATCAATACGTTTTTCGATCCTCTCATTCTACTGCTGACTTGCTAACTGCTGTGACAGAAAGATTTTATTGTGCATTAGAATCAGAAAGGCTAGAGCTATAGCTTTTGACATCTTTAAGGCTTTCAACAATGTTTAATGCTGGTCTTCTCCATAAACTTGTTTCATATAGTGTATCTAGTAAAGTTTTTGAGATTATCAAATTGATTCTTTTCAACTGCTTTATCAAAGCCATTATCGAATGCCAACACACTTCTTTATTTCCAAAAACTTCTGGGGCACCTCAAGGTTCTATCCTTAGTCCTGTTTTGTTTCTTATCTACATTAATTCCAGACAACCTTACATCTAAAGTAGCTCTTTTTGCTACTCAACCTCATACTCCTGTCTTGACAAAAAAACTTTTTGATTGCTTAGAACAAGCAGCCGATCTTGAATCTGATCTCACTTCACTAACAGATTGGGGCTCACAAAGGTTTGCAAATTTTAACCCCAACAAAACTCAGTTATTTACTGCAAATAACACAGTACTGTTGACATCCCTATATTAATAAATGACAACCTTCTTACCGAGTTCTCATCTTTACATCTTCTTGGATTATTGTTTAATACTGACCTTTCCATATATACAATTGATTGCTAAATTAGCATCAGCTAAGGTTGCTTCTCTTTACCATGTTCGTCATTTTCTTTCTCCTGATTCCATTCTCTCTCATGATTCCATTCTCTACCCCTACAAATCTCTTATTCATCCCTGTATAGAATACTGTTGTCATATTTGGGCTGGTTCTTCTAATGATGCTCCTTCTCTTCTAGACAAGATCCAAAAACGCATTGTAAATGTTGTTGGACCTGCTCTATCTGCTAAGCTTGAGTATCTTTCCCATCATTGTAAAGCAACATCTCTTTTTCTTTTCTACAAATACTATCATGATTACTGCTAAAAGGAGCTATCATCTTTAGTTTCATCAAATAAAACTCATTCTCGTTTGACTTGTCATTCACCAAAGTCTCATTATTTTATTGTATCTGTCCATGCATGCTCTAAAAACTTTTATTCATCTATTTTTTTCCTGCACTTCAAAGCTTTGGAACTCTCTTCCGTCCTCATGTTTTCCTGATTCATAAAACCTTCAACCTTTTAAGTCTTTTGTCAATTGTTTCCTTGCTGTATTACTCTATTCTTTTTTTCTAGCAACCCCTAACTTAATAGTGGTTGCTTGCAGCCTTATTAAGAGTAAATCAGAATTAAAAAAAAAAAGATGCATTTTTTTGCAATTAATTTAATATATGGTTTTCAAAAAAGATCCGAAGTAAAAGTTAATCCTAGGAGATGAAGGGTAAATGACCCATTGAGTACATTATTATTCATAAATGTAGGAAGATCTAGATTATTGCGATAACAATTGGCTGAAAAAATTTAAGTTTTACCTGAGTTTAAGTTCACCAGCAACTGAGAGCCCCATGCTATAGCAGAAGTGAGATCCTTTTCAAGCTCAAATACCCCTACAAGCAATCAGAGTGTATTGGTTTCTTATCAAGAAAAAAATAAATGGTAGTATCATCAGCAAACAATGCCACCTTAGATGTAAGAACTTCTGGGAGATTGTTAATGTAAACTAAAAAGTATAGGGTCCAGGATAGAACCTTGAGGAACCCCTGAAATTACAGGAAATGAAGAAGAGAGCTTTCCATTGAGTACAACTTTTATACTACGATTGGTAAGGATGGATTCAATAATCTTAAACCTACCTGATACATTATAAGAAGAAAGCTTATGGAGGAGACTGGCATGCCAAATTTATCAAAGGCTTTAGAAATGTTGAGAGCAATAACCTTTACCTCTCCATGAGAAGACAAAAATCCATATTGATGATCAGAAAGTAAATTATTAGATTCAAGATTAAGTGTTTGTTAATTAAAGACTCAAAAACCTTGCTTATTACTAATGGGACAGTAGTTTGAAGAGTCAGATCATTCTCTAGAATTTTTTGAAAATAGGGATAACAGATGCTGCTTTCAGCAGGCTGGAAATTAAGACTCTGATAAGCACTATATAGTTTTGAAAGTATAGATGACAGCTCCAGAGAACACTTTTGCTAGACTATAACAGGTATGTTGTCCGGACCATAAGCTGTAGAAGAGTTTAAGCAGGAAATCACTTTTGATACAGAAGCTGGAGTGATACCAACATCAAGCAAATGTATTTCAGAAAAAGGCCTGAAAAAAAAAAAAGATAAAATATCATCTGCCTAGACTATGATTTATTATTAAAGATTTTTTTTTTTATAAATATGTTTATAAAGGCTTATTTAATTTTAATTATTTAAAAAATTTAAACTTATTGCAAAAAAAAAAATTTATAAATACTTAACAAATAAAAATACTTTTACACGGTAGATTTTTTTACATATTTTTAATAAAGTTTTGAATTTTTTAGTAAATAATATTTTCTTGAAATATATTTTATATTAAATTTTTTTGGATTTACATTCAAAAAATTAATAAAATGCCGCCAAAAATATTTTAAATTAATATTAGATAGGATATAATATTTTTGTTTAAAAAGTTAATTGAAAAAATTCCTGTAAAAAAATTTGCAACTGCAGTAATGTAATAATTCACTATGTTGTCCTAGCCAAAGTTCTTTTATACCTAATTGTACAGTTGATCATACTGCATACATACTGCATACTGTCAGTTCCTTAGAGACGGAGATAGATTTAAAGTGCTTACAATACAAAAGCTTAGGTTATTTTTTCAATGAGTTAATTTTAATCAATAAACTTTTATACTTTAAATATTAAATAATATTTTGACAGGATAAAAATTAGGAACTTGCCAAAGGAGTGGATAAAACTATTAAAGATTGGATGAAATTAAAAGATTAAAGATACAGAACAAATGCTGCTGAAGTAAAAAAAAAAAGACATTTTTAGAGCAAATCAATATAGAATTTTGGATTGAAGACACAAATATGAAGTAATGGCTATGGCTTTATTCATTTGTCTTTCTATACAGAGTGGTTTCTAAAAGCAGAGCTAGGTTTTTTGGCATCAACACATGAAAAGTATTTAAAAGTTTTTTTTAATAAGTTAGAAAGCTCATTATTGATTAAAGTTTTCAAAATATTTTCAAAATGTTTATTAATATTATTTATTAATTAAGATATGAAAGTTTACTGGCAAATGAAAAAGTTTGAAGAATGGAATCTACTTAGCTCTCAAGCTATTTCATGTTCTATTCTCAAATATACATGTTTTTGGATCCCATTTAGGTTGTTTTTGCCTTAGCAGATAAAAGAATGTAATTAATATGGTAAAATGGCTGAAAAACTTCACAGTTTACAATGATGTCCAAGTGAATGTTTTCCTTTGAAACATCAGATAAATCGAAAATATAAGGTACTTCAATGACTTTTTTATATTTCAAAATATTTTAAAATATTTTTAAATTATATTAAATTTTCGAAAATTCGAAATTTTCGAGTCTTTATACAAAATATTTAAACAAAAATTCTTAAAAACTGTTTTATAAATGGCACAAAATACCCTAAAAATTGCCTCTTTTACCCCCTGAATGAACCCTTTTGATTTTCAATAATTAAAATTTACTCCTATAGATTAGATACATTTGACATAAGCTTTGAGATAAGTATAAACACTTATAGGTTTATACTTATGTCAAATAAGTGTGTGGGTATGTGTGTGTGTGTGTAAGTTAAATTAGTGCATTTTACAAATAGAGAGCTAAATGTTCCTTAAGAACAGAGCAATAATAATATAATAATTAAATTTGTACTTTGCTTAATGACAATTAAAAAGGGTACATGGTGTATAAAAAACTTTTTTACTTTAAACAAATTAGTAGTTACTAACTTCTTTTAAAATGTTAGCTTTCTATTATCCAATATTCTCCACATATTAAAAGTTAAAATAAAAAAAGTAAACTAAAAAAATTATTTAAAGTTAAAAATTCTTTCAAAATTATAAAAAAAACCATCAAAAATTAAAAATTCTGTTTAAGTGAAATCTTACTTATAGTCTATTTTATTAGGAAGATTGATACCCAGGTAAAATGCGATTACATCAGTGAGCTGTGCTGTGTATAAAAGAGACGCTGGTATGCATAAAACAAGCAAGTCATGAAGGGGTGTTTGGCATTCTAAATATAATTATTAATAATAACTATTAATAATTATTAAAAAAAACTAATATTAATTACTATAAAATAACAATTGATAATTTTATAACAACATAGTTAAAGTTGTTGAATGACATAATTATTTAAACGTAACAATATTTTTTGTCTATTTTTTAAAATTAACAGTGAAAAATAATAAATTTAATTCAAATTTAATTTTTAATGATTTATTATTTAATGTATTTATAAATAACATGGCAATTACATTTCAAAAAATTTTAATTTTTATTATTTTAATGTTTTATTACATATACATTTTATTACTAAATTCAAAAACATTAAATTTGACCAAAAATTCCTTCTAGCAAATTAAAGAAAACTCTCTATTATATTTACCAAGCTTATTGAAATATTAAAAATAAAAAATATATGCACAAATAAATTTCAATAACATTAAAAAATATAACCTGCACTTCGAGGTTCATTCCTGTATGATTTCACTAAAATTATAACAAACTATTAAATAAATTATTATAATGTAAGTTCTTTACTCAACCTGACATCTGTAATTATGACAATATTAGCATCTCTGCCAACATAAACCAACAGTAGCCAATTAACAAGAATTTATTAGTTATCAACACAAAACACAAATACTTTATAGATATATTTATTTTTTTGATTTAAAAATAAATATTTTTTTAACATAATATTATGCATAACATAAATACTAAATAAAAAAGTATTTAGTATTTATGTTATGCAGTTAGTTGTGGTGCTTTTTTAAAACTTTTTTTACTTATTTGCTTGTAAATTTAATTGTTAAAAAGGTTTTGCAAAAAAAAGATATTAGGAGATGCCTAACATGCTGATAAAGTTAAATGCACCAACATGCAAAATTGAATACATCAATAAATTAAAAAAGATAAATGCATCCAAAATTACAAGTATGTTAAATTTATTCAAATTTTTAAAAAAAGTTTATAATTATAATTCAAGATTCATAAATTTTTTTTTCTTACGCCATTCATAGTATTTCATAAAATCTTCTGTTGACGGCATTCCTACACCCACAATAGTATGTTCTCTTTGTGAACAGTCTTGTGAAATCCATTGACCACCAATATGTACTGTTCGAGTAGCTTCCTCCAATTCTATCTCAGCAGATGAAGACATATTTTGAGACACCACATCAAGACAATCTCCTAATATTTATTAAAACATATTTTTAGAAACTCAAAATATCAGGCAGCAAAAATAATTTTAAATATTTGAAAATACTTTGTGTAACATAAGTTGATCGGGGAGGTGTGCCAAATTGTGGGTATACTTCTCTAACAGAAAGTGTAAATATGTCACGAATCAAGCATTGTATATTAAAGATTCTCAAACTTTTTAAATCGCCTTCTTTTTTCTCTAATTTCTCTTTATAACGTTGAAGCTTTTGCTAAAACAAGAATAAATAAAAAATTATTGTTTAAATAACTTTTTCAAAAAGAAAAGACTTTCATAAAAAAATAATTTTCTCATTTTCTAAAATCTTTTTTAAAATAAAAACTGCAGAAAAGTTGAGAGGAGAGAATAAAAGGAAAAAGTCGGTGATCAAAGAGTTTAATGAAGAAAGAGTTTGGCAACCATTGATTGTCAGTAAACATAGTCACTTGTGCCAAGTAAACAGTTGTTTTTTTTTTACACAAATGAATGGCAAGCATATGTCTATCTCATTTGTTTTAATTGAATGTATCTAACTATCAAGCTTGGCTGAGAGATTAAATTGTTGATTAAATATTTTGTTCAATGAAATCTTACAAAAAAACATTTTGTATAAACTAGCAGGAAATCAAATTTTCTTCCTTAACGCTTGCTTTCGATGATATATAATATTTTTAAATAACCAAAAGATTACAGATTTCAACCTCTGGTTCATAGCAAATAAATTTCAACCTCTGGTTCATAGCAAAGAAATTTCAACCTCTGGTTCATAGCAAAGAAATTTCAACCTCTGGTTCATAGCAAATAAATTTCAACCTCTGGTTCATAGCAAATAAATTTCTTAACAGATTAAAGATTTTAAAAAACCAAAAAACTAAAATACGCTGATTTTTTAATCTTAACATTTCTGTTGAATAAAAATTTTTTGTGTTAAAGCTCAATCAATCTTTTTGTGTAAATCTCAGGGTTTTTTTTCTTATTAGGACAATCTCTGTAAACCAAATGTTAAATGTTGTTTTCTCAATAATCTTGCTGTTAGTGGTGAAGTATGAAATTAATAATTCTTTAAATTTTATGTCTATTGTTTTTTATTTTTTATACAAAGAAAATGCAAGACATTGCAGTTTGTTAATCTTATTTTAATAGTATTTTGATTGCTGGCAGGAAGAGATATTTAACAACGGGTTAATAAACAGACCTTATTTTCCATGGATAAGGCAGAACTGTTTGAATATTTTCTCAAATGAATGACTACACCCCAAAGAAATTTAAACCGCTGTTAGACATCCAAATCACTTCTGCTTCTGTTGCTTATGTTATTTCTTACTTAAACTTTTAGTTTAAGTAAGAAAGTGTACTCCAGAACTCTATTTACAACTCTGTAAACAACAAGTTTAGCATGTGAATCTAAATTTGTGTGTGTATTGCAGTGGCAATGGTGAATTTTAACCCAAACAAAAACTAGCATGTGTGGTTCCAATTTTTAAAAACTCTTCCTATGACCACATTAACTTGTACCATCTTTAAAATTGTCCTTGATGAACAAAACTTTATTTCCAGTAACTTCTGAGGTACCACGAGGTTTCACCCTTGATCTATTGTTGTTTCTCATCAAGGTTTTACTTTCACTGTTACTATTGTTGTTCCTTAGGCTGTTAAAGAAGAGAAATCAGATTAAAAATTAAAAATCAATCAAAAAGTGAAGATTTTTTGTCGAGACAAGAGTATAAAGAGTATAAAGAATTTATTACTGCAGTTAGAAAGAAAGAATTTAACAATCTCAAAACCTTTATATAAAGAAACTAATAACAGAGTGAAGACTAAGCTTAGGACTGTTGGAGTGGTCAAAGTGTTTTCTATAGTTTTGAAAAATTAGAACCACTTATTTAGCACATTTTAAAAATTTAGCAAAAATTGAAGAGAGTTCTGGAGAACTTTTTTTAAGACTATGATAGAAATCTTGTTTGAAGCACACACTGTAGAAGTATTTAATTGAGAGCTAATTTTAGCCAGAGTGATTTAGATGTTTAACAACAAGAGTCAAATTAAAGTAAGATTTCTTTGCAAATAACTCTGCTTTATTTTGGGGAGAAGTAAAAAGATCAGACCCATTAGTTAGAGATTAAATGTAAATAGAGATTTAATAAACAAATTACCTTTCTATTTTGAAACTGCACTCCTTTCCTTAGTTCTTCAATCTTGAGTAATAGTTTATTAAACTGCTTCTTTTGTTCAGATAAATGGTTTTTTAGTTTTTCGTTATTTTCTTTATCTAAAATACAGCACTTTTTTATTAAGAGTTTTTATTAATTTAACTTTGCTATCAAGTTAAATTTTTATTATGCTAAGTATTTTTCTGTTTAATCATACATCAAAAGCTTTATATTTACTTATTCTATTTTTTTATTTATTTCACTGAATAAATAAAAACCTTACAATTTGTTTATACTGGTTAAACCCATTTATCAAACCCTAAGCAAACATTTTGAATAGATATCCATAAACATTTCTGTTAATGAGGGACAGTCTGGGTCTCTAAGATTACAATATATTTGGATAAAAGTCTAATTGCTTTGGTCATCCGGAGCAGCATTAAAAAAAAATTGGACAAAAGAGTCCATTCGCATTGGTCATATGCATCACAATTTTGAAAAAATTTAAAAAATCAATTAGAGTCAATTAGAGTTGGGGTAACAGCATGTAACTAAAAGCCTGTTATCAGATTTTTAATTACAGATCAGGTTTTTCTCACATAATGTGTAACGCTTCTTTGATTTATAACTGATATGAAGTTTGGGTTTAGTCTAATACTGAAAAAGATTCTTATTGGCTACATTAAAGCAACTTGTTTTTGAATAAATATGTTGATGTATATGAGAAATTTTTTGTAATTTTAAATGTTCCTTAATTTTTTTACTCAAATGTTGAGTGGTTCGACCTATATAACAAGCATTGCAGCTTTTAAACACAAATTTATATAAGACATTTGAGCAGAGATATTGAGGAGTTTTATTCTTTTTGAAAAATATGCATTAATTTTAAAAGATGAGAATGCCAATATAACTATTGCATAGGTCATTTATTGTATTTTGAAATTATTGTTTTGACATCATATACAGCATTTTAAAACAATTTATTATTGAGCAATTGATAATTTCTTTATTTTCTTTTTTATATAGTCTGTTAAGATCAATTAGTTTAGTCAATCAATTAGTTTAGTCAGGTAAAGCTTTTTTGGAGAATATGTTTAAGTTTAACTAAATCAGAATGTAAATTAGACCATTTGTTGTTAGTTTTATAAATTCTATCTGTTAAAGTTGTTATTGTGCATATTTTGCAAGAAATGTTGGTAAAACTTAGAGAATTTCTTAATAGACCTAAGAAGGTCTTTTTTCTAAAAAAAGTTAAGAAACTTTTGTAAAATATTCTCTTAGCATTTAAAAATTATGATCGTATAAAATTTAAATTTATAAAATTTGTAACGTCTTAAATTGAGGGGGATTCAAACATTGTCATAATTTTTGAACACTAAAAGATTATTGTATGAAGTATAGAATTTATCGATGAATATAAATTTATTTAAAAATAGTAAAAAAAACGTTTTATCAAGTTGTTGCTTTCTTGTTTGGGGCAAATGAGCCCAAAATCTTAAGGCCTTTTTGTTCCCAGACACCAATCATCATAATTTTCTGCAAATCATCTTTATTTGACATAAGTATAAACATCAAATGTATATATATATATATATATATATATATATATATATATATATATATATATATATATATATATATATATATATATATATATATATGTATATATATATATATATATATATATATTATGTATATATATTATGTATATATATATATATATATATATATATTGTGTATGTATATATATATATATATATATATATATATATATATATATATATATATATATATATATATATATTTATATAGATATATATATATATATATATATATATATATATATATATATATATATTTAGATAGATATATATATTTAGATAGATATATATATTTAGATTTAGTGAACTAAAAGAAATATATATTTCTTTTAGTTCACTAAATATATCATTCACTAATATCCATAGCCTTTGTGGTAACTTTCCTTCTGTTGAGTTTTACCTGTTCACCAGACCTACTTGCTCTTTGTGAGAGTTCACCAGACCTACTTTCTCTTTGTGAGATTAAATTGAAATTAGCATCTTGTGATCTTAGTATTAATGGTTTTTTCCTTAACTTCGTAAAGACTCTAATAGTCACATTCTTGGCCTAGACATTAAATTTCATAAGAATTCACCCATAACAATCTTCCATATATTCTCACATATATGGTGGCATTGTTCGCTGATACTATCATTTATTATTATCATGATAAAAAGCCAACACTCTTTGCTTGGAGGGAGCATCTGAGATTAAAAAGGATCTCACTTCTGCTAAAGTATTGGGCTCATAGTGGCTGGTGAACTTTAATTTAGAGAAAACTCAATTTTTTTCAGCCAATCGTTAACGCAATAACTTAGATTTTCCTATATTTATGAACAGTAATGTACTCGATGAGTAATCTACCCTTCATCTTCAAGGATTAACTCTTACTTCCAATCTTTCTTGGAAACCCTATATCAAATCAATTGCAAAATTAGTATCTGCTAAGGTTGCATCTCCTTATTGTGCTCACCTCTTTCTAACTCCAGATTCTATTCTTTACCTCTACAAATCTCAAATTCTTCCTTGTATGGAATACTATCGCCATATCTAAAGCCAATGTTCCAATGATGCCCTTTCTCTTTTAGACAAGGTGCAAAAACGCATTGTAATTATAGTTGACTTGCAGCCAACCTCCAACTATTATCATATCGTCCTAATAATGCTTCAATTTCTCTTTTCTACATTGCTCTCAAGAGCTATTGTATTTTGTGTCATCTACTAAATTTTGTGTCATCTACTAAAATTCATTCTTGTGTTACTCGCCCTTCAATTAAATCTCATCCTTTTTCTGTGACTGTTCCTAAGTGCTCCAAAAACTCTTATTTGTCTAGTTTTTTCCTTAAACATCAGTTTTTTGGAATTCACTTTCTTCATCTTGCTTTCCTGATTCATATAATTTGTAATCTTTTAAGTCGTCTGTCAATCATTATCTTGTTTTACAAACTTTATTTTTTCTCTTCCAGTAACTTCCAACTCTTATAGTGGTTGCTTGCAGCCTTGTTGGAAGTGAAGTTGTAAAAAAATAAAATAAAATACATAGGGAAACTAGGTTTGAGTCCACAGAATATACTCTAATGTGCTTTCATTTAGCATCAATTTACTCAAACATTAACATTATTTGTTAATAATAATAAATAATAGTATATAGTCAGGATAGATACTAAATAGTCAGAAATAAATAAATTTAAACAAGAACAATTATAATTGGTCACAAAATCCATAAAATCTTAAAATCAACAATTTACTTATAGAAAGTCTTTTTTTATTTTCTGTTAAACAAGCAATGCCTAATTAATATACTTTTTAATAAAAATTGGTAAAAAATTCAAAATAATTTTTATCAACATTGCTCTTCTTCATCTCACATGAATGACGTCCATAACTTATAGTGTTAGTGACTCTGCAGGTGTTAAAGTCCATAACTTATAGTGTTAGTGACTCTGCAGGTGTTAAAGTCCATAACTTATAGTGTTAGTGACTCTGCAGGTGTTAAAGTCCATAACTTATAGTGTTAGTGACTCTGCAGGTGTTAAGGTCCATAACTTATAGTGTTAGTGACTCTGCAGGTGTTAAGGTCCATAACTTATAGTGTTAGTGACTCTGCAGGTGTTAAGGTCCATAACTTATAGTGTTAGTGACTCTGCAGGTGTTAAGGTCCATAACTTATAGTGTTAGTGACTCTGCAGGTGTTAAGGCCCATAACTTATAGTGTTAGTGACTCTGCAGGTGTTAAGGTCCATAACTTATAGTGTTAGTGACTCTGCAGGTGTTAAGGTCCATAACTTATAGTGTTAGTGACTCTGCAGGTGTTAAGGTCCATAACTTATAGTGTTAGTGACTCTGCAGGTGTTAAGGTCCATAACTTATAGTGTTAGTGACTCTGCAGGTGTTAAGGTCCATAACTTATAGTGTTAGTGACTCTGCAGGTGTTAAGGTCCATAACTTATAGTGTTAGTGACTCTGCAGGTGTTAAGGTCCATAACTTATAGTGTTAGTGACTCTGCAGGTGTTAAGGTCCATAACTTATAGTGTTAGTGACTCTGCAGGTGTTAAGGTCCATAACTTATAGTGTTAGTGACTCTGCAGGTGTTAAGGTCCATAACTTATAGTGTTAGTGACTCTGCAGGTGTTAAAGTCCATAACTTTAACCTTTCTCAATCTCTAACACAAATAGTAAACTTTTCAACTCGTTTTTTAGATAATCCAAATCATTTATGTTCTCTACTCAACTTATGTCTTGTTTCTGATCCTAGTCAGTGCTCAGTTTCTTTACATTCATTCTTAAGTGCTTCTGATGGCAGTTTAATCTCTCTAAAACTATTACCTCATTCTTCTTCTACATCAGAATCTCCCTATCATCGTACCTTCTACAACTACCTTAAAGCTGACTGGGACTTTCTGTGATTTTCTTTGTGATAGCCCTTGGCTACAAATTTTTCTTATTTGCTGAAAAATGTGCGCCTTGTATAACTTCTTAGATTCAGACTGGCATGTAATCTTTTATTTCCTCTCAACAATTTCAACTCAAGGCTCACTCTTCTCTGTGGTTTTCTTCTCATTGTGCTGTTGCAATTTCCAATCGTAACCATTACTTCCATATCTATTGCCAAAACAATTCTCCATAAAATATACCTGTGTTTATTATTGCTAGAAACTATTGTAAAAAGAGTCTTGTTTTCCAACCTGCTGGAAAGCGGCATCTGTTATCCCATCTGTTATTTTTTACGAAAAAGCTTAAGGTTATTGCTATAAAAACCTCTAAAACCTTTGATAAAGTTTGGCATGCTGGTCTTCTCCATAAGCTTTTTTTCATACAGTGTATCAGGTAATATCTTTAAAATTATATAGTTTGAATCCTTCCTTATTAATCATAGTATAAAAGTTGTACTCAATGGAAAGCACTCTTCTTCATTTCCTGTAACTTCAGGGGTTTCTCAAGATTCTATCCTAGGCCCTACTTTTTCTTAATTTACATTACCGATCTCCCATAAATTCTTACATCTAAGGTAGTATTTATCGCTGATGACACTACCAT